CACACACACACACACACACACACACACACACACACACACACACACACACGGTACTGAACAGATAAATGACCCCAAATTAGATCAAAGATCGAACAAACACAAAATGTATCAATTATCAACCTCTCGTAATTGAAAATCATGTGGGTTTATTAATAACATTCATCTGTTTAGTTTAATGATCCGTAATAAGCACCTTTTATATGTGAGCTATTGGTTTGGTGTTGAAGACTCCAAAACCAAGGAATGCGTAGCAGCTGGTCACATTCCATCCGCAAGAGGAGAAATCTGTGATTTCAAGTTTCAAGCTACTGCTCAGCTCTCTTCCTCACACTAAGATGCAATGCCCAAGGAAAAGGTTCCACCCACCACGGGTGGGGCTTCCCACCTCAGTTAATTTAATCACCGTAATCCCCCACAGCCGAGCCCACAGGCCAACCTCATCTAGAAAATCCCTTATTTCCCAAGGTGATTTGGGGAAGTGTCATGTTGGCATTTAAAACGAACCAGCACACTTTCAAACAATACATGTTGAGTTCATTCGAATACTTTTGTGCGGTTCTCGGTCTATGGAAATGCAGTCTACTAAATAAGTGTATTTACAGAGCACTTTCAGAGTCTGAGAAGAGGCTGCCAGCCGGAGTCCCCTGGAGCTTCAGACTGAGACAGTGTCTTGCCTGACTGATCTTTAGAGCACCTACTTTGGTTTGGTGGAGACAGGACTCCGTCTCCTGAAATCAACTCTTTCTGCAAATGTGGACCAGTCCTTACAGGAGCCCCTCCCGGCCGGCTTCACACCCTCTAAAAAGTCCGAGGTCAGGGTTCGAGAAACAAACTGTGAAGTCCAAGGTGGGATTCATTTCTTTCTAAAAAACAATATAAAAGTTTGTGTGTGTGTGTGTGTGTGGTGTGTGTGTGTGTGTGTGTGTGGTACATACCTGGGCACACAGAATGTGTCGGGATGAGGGGTGGGGCCAGAGAATAAATCTGTGAAGTCAGCTCTCTCCGTTTTACGTGGATTCCAGGACCTGAACTCAGGTCATCAGGCATACGCGGTGCTTTTGCCCCTCAGCCATCTCGCCTCCTCTATCCTGTTAAATTACTAGTCTCTACTCTGGCCTGTGTTCCTCACAGCCTCCCCACCTCCATGCTGAGTGACCAGGTCCAGTAATTTCAATTTGGAATTAATTCCCACTTACCTTCATGAAACTTAAAGCCACAGGCTGAGCGTTTGAGAACTTTTCTTCAAGAGTCTCCTGGAAAAACAAAAGAATTTCATTGTCACATAACCACAAAGTAATGTATATGTACATGCATGTGTGTGTGTGTGTATTTCATAGTCCTGGGGAACGTTATAGGACTTATGCATAAATTTACAGCCACGTGCATGCTAGGCAAGCAGTCTACCACAGGGCCATCTCCCGGCCCACAGTGTGTGTATCTGACAATAAGAACACTTTGGAGAAACACCCTTAGTATGTTTGATGACCCTTTTAAAGTTTTTTTTTTTTTAAACCACGTTGTTACATAATTTTGTAGTATAATATAAAGGCTCAAGAGATAGAAAACTAGAGTGCTTTCTTGATTTTGAAAGGACTTTCTCTTGGTGCTAGTAGTCCTGGGAGGAAAGGGGACAGGGACACTTGAAATGTGAAGCTGAAAAAAGGCCCTGCCAGAACTCCTGTCCCAGTACCCGGCTGTTGGAGCCTGGCATGTCAATGAGGGCGCTCTGGGCATTCTTGAAAACACAGTGACTTCATTCTGAAAAACACTGGAGCAACCGATAGGAGGCGAGGTCACTGTACCTCATTGTTTACAATAAACACTCTATATAACAAGTCTTTTTCCATTTTTCATGTGTGTGTATGCATGTTTCTACACCTGTGTCGGGTGAGTGTACATGTATGTGTGTGTGTGTACATGGAGGCAAAGGCTGATGTCAACAATCGCCCTCTAATTGCCCTTGCACTGTGTTCCCTGAGGCAGGGTCTCAGACTCAGCTCCTCCATGCGGCTAGTCTGGCCAGCCAGCTGGCTCTAGAACCACTTCCTGAGGTCAGAGCCTTGGCAGGCCAGCACTAGCCAGCCTTTGTATGGACCTGGGGCTCCGCACTCTGCCCCAACATAGAAGCGAAGCGAATGACTGAACTGCAGAGCCATCACCCCTTCAAGTTTTATCTTTGTAAGTCAACCTTTCACCTTGTGTTATATTTGTGAAAAAAAGACACCTGCAGATTAAAAAAAAAAAAATCTTAGGCAAATCAAGGCACTCCATGAAATGTGACTTTGATCACGTCACGCAGCACCATCGGCTTCCCGAAGCTACTCCTGAAGGTGCCTTCCTTCCCTGCCCTGGGCAAACCGGCAGACAGTTTGGACATGGTTTTGCTTGGTGTTGTTCTGAGACAGAATCTCCTGGCTGGCCTTCAGCTTGTGGCATCATCTTGCCTCTTGCTGGGATTACAGGTTTGGACCACAGCATGAAGAACAATATGGAGTGTGGGAGGTCAGACCCTGAGTGTAGGTGACCTGACAGGAGGAGCTAAACAAGGCCAGACCAGGAGCAGGCATGTCCACGGATCCGGAGCTGCAAAGGTACAGTAGATTTTGTAGAATGAACTTCCATGAGGAAATTATGGGGGGAGAGTTTTTGTTTTATTTTTCATGAAGGGTGGTGGGTAGCATGGAGTCTCCTCTATGTTTCAGGCTGGACTTGAACTCATGATCTTGCCACTCCTGCCTCTCAAGTGCTAGGATAATAGGTATACTGAGCCTGACTTGAGAAATGTTTAATTTTTTAAATTTCTATTGCCGTCAGCTTTCTTCTATAATCTGGAGACTAATTAAGAGAGAACATATCTTCAAAATAACGAAATACTATCAAGAAATAGTATCTGAAATACTATTTATGCATTAGTAATTACTTCAGGGAGAGTTAATTTTTGCAGTTGACCAAAACCATCAAGGTGTGTGTCAGATACTTGGCATGATTTAAATTTACTTATTTTTTATAATTAGAGATCTGCAGTGATTTTACTTTTAGTTCCTTCACTTTAAGCAGTCATGAAATTTCACAGTGATTTCTGTGGTGGGGCGGACGATCGAGGCCGTGGCCTGGTTGGCCTGGTCTGAAGCAGGAAGGCCTCCTTGCGGACGCTGGCGGATCACGGTGATCAGCTCGGCTGCCTTGGGGTCGCCCTCAGCAGAGATGATGGCTGCCTTCCTCTGCTGCTCAGCCCTTCCCGCACCAATCTGGCCCTCTCCGCTTCCTGCGGGACCACCTGTTAGGCTTCCACCACTCTGTGAACTCCTTCCCGAAGGTCTCTGTGAGGTCATCGCTGCCTGGAGACCAGCTCTCGCTGCGTCAAATCCGGCCGCCACGGACTGGAGGACCTCTGTGGTGATGGGTGGCAGGCACCGCTGGTCCAGGCCTCGCCGATGCTGGTGTAGAGGCGAGGAAGCGGGCGGGCCACCGGCCCGAAGACGATGCGCGGTGTGATCTGATGTTCTGCAAGTCTTTGCCACCAGCGAGGACCCGCACACTCCGTGGTCGAGAGCGGCAGCCGGAGAGAATTGGTTTCTGTACCCAAGGGATGAGAAAGCGAGTCCCTTCCCCACCACGATGTCCTGTACTCCATGGAATCGGTCAAAGACGACAGCTCTGGGCCCAGCATCCACATTATACACGGCGGAGTTCACCACGCTGCCTGCGACTGCCAACGCCAGGCCGAACTTCCAGAGGGACTCACACTCAGTCAGCCGTGGTTCGGTCTGGCGCAGCCCCACACACCTGCTTTTGCTCTGACCTCCACATGAATTCCCCAGCCTCGCAGCGTGATTTAAATTGAAATGTATGTGAATTGTGGAAGGGAGAGGATAGGTAAACTGTGGTTCCCTCCATCATCTTCATTATTTTGGTATGTATGTGGGGAGGCGGGTAACACGTGCCAATGTGTGAAACCCCGTAGGTGTGTGAGAGGCCCTCTACCTCACTCCTCTCTACCTTACTCCCTTGAGGTAGGGTCTGTTACTGAGCCTGGAGCTGTTTTTAAGTGGGGCTGGCAGTCAGAGAGCCCCAATGTCCCCTCTTCCCACCACTCAGGCTATGGGCATGCCCAGCCACACACCCCTTTTTTGGTGGGTGCTGGGTCCTCATGCCTGTATAGCCAGCTCTGAGAACCTCCGGTGTTCCTGGTTGGTTGTTTTGTTTGGTTCTGTTTTGTTTTGTGTGTGACAGTTTCCGGCTGTCTGCCTGATAGCTCTGGCTGCCTCATTCTAGGATTTGCTATATAGCCCAGGCCGGCAGCAAACTTTGTTAATTGACCTTGTGAGTATCAGAATTACAGCCATGCTACCACGCCTGGATTCTCAAGAGTTTTTGAGCGAGGACCTTGCAATTGCCCAGACTGACCTGGAGCTCTTGAGCTTAAGTGACCCAGGTTCTCTAATAGCTGGGGTTTCCAATGTACCCCCCTGTGGGCGGCTTATCCCTGTGAGACTGACCAACTTCGATTTTGCGTGTTTCATAAGGAAACAGTAGCCAAAAAGCTCACATGTGAAACAACTACCTCCTTACAGAAAGGAACAATACAATAACTCATCCAACACAGCTGTTTACCATGTCTTCTGGTTCAGGTATGCTGATGCCACGGAAAAACTGGTTACTTTTAAAGATAGATTGATGCCTTGGGATGAGCTTTCCTGTAAAATACAAACCACATAGCTCTTTAGAAAATCACAAAGTCCCTCCTAAAATTCCTGTAAGATGCAGGCATTAAGGAAACATTGTCCCTAAGTGTTCCCTGCAGACGGGCAGTCTGAGCATGGGCAAAGATGCCTATACCCAGATGAGGACCACTCTGCCCACAACTCCTTGCTACACCTCGTGTGGTCTGCCTGTCAGCCTCCACTAAGTGACAAGAGTGCCCCTGGACAATTCCTACCTGTTAACTGATTTCCTAATCTCCCCCCCAACACACTTGCTTGGAGACAAGGTCTTCTATATTCCATATAGCCAAGCATAACCTTGAACTCTTGATAGTCCTGCCCCCGGCATCCCAAGCGTGGGCCAAGGTGTCTGATTTAATGCATGCTGGAGATTGAGTATAGGCATGTTTGCATGCTCTGCAAGCACTCTGCCACTGAGCTAGGTGCCCAGCCTGAGAACTGCCAGTTTTCATCTCCATTGCACCAACGAGGAAAATGAGGTTGACATTCGTTAAGCCAGTCATATGACTGGATTCAACTCAGGTCTGTGTAGAGAGTTAGGGGACTGAGTAAACACGCACACACACAGAAGGTGTGGCCTGTAGTGATGCTCTGCTCTGTACTCTCATGTCACCTGGGAGAAAGAGCTACAGAGGAAGCAGAGAACTGCCCAGCAGGCAGAAAGCCAGATGGATTCCGGGAAAGAACCTGTGTATTCATCCTGTGGAGAGAAGGTTACAGGCCTTACAGGCAGGCTCCCAGAGTGGGTCTGTGCCCCACACTGGGTCTGGATTCCTCTTCCAATCTCTGGAGGAAGACTGCAACCTCTGACTTCAAGGATGTCACAGTGATCAAAGGTCATGAAACAAGCTTGCAAGTGCTCAGTGGCAGAGGGCTTGCATAATACACTCGAGAGGCCCTGGGTTCTGTCCAGCATCACACACACACACACACACACACGCATACACAAACACGCACAAATAAAAAGAAATCTTTTGTTGTTTTTGATTTTTTTGTTTTTGCTTTTTGAGAGAGGGTTTGTCTGTATAGCCTTGGCTGTCCTGGACTCTTTTTTTAGAGCAGGCTGGCCCTGAACTCACAGAGATCCGCCTTCCTCTGCCTCCCCAAGTGCTGGGATTATAGATGTGTGCCACTATGCTCTGCTGATTTTTGGTTTTGTTGAGCTAGGATCTCTCTATATAGCCCCGGCTGGCTTGGAACTCACTATGGAGACCAGGCCGACCTCTAATCCACAGAAATAGTTCTGCCTCTGTCTCTCTAGTACTGGGATTAAAGCCATGTGTCACCACACTTGGCCAAAATAAAAATCTTTAAATAAAAATAACTTAAAAAATAAGTTACTTTATTATTTTTTACTTAAGTAAACACTATGCAAGCTGCAAAGGGAGGGAAGCGAGTAAATAGTCCCGAACTGCTGCAACACCTATGAATCAACACGACAAAGCCAACTACCAACATGCCAAGATATGCATAAAGGTGCAGGCAGTGGCACTCACGTGTCAGTGGCAGCCCACAGCTTCTGATTCGACTTAAGGCCCATTCGATGGGAGGGAGTCATGCCCAGGATTGAAAACTTAACCAGCTTCCCACGAGTAATGAAAACGCACACACACACACACATATGTGTATATGTGTATATATTATGCATGCATATATACATATGTATGTACATATATATGCTTGTATGTGTATGTATGTATTATGCATATATATATATATATATATATATATATATATATGTATTTTTTTGTACATACACACTGTTTTAGGGTTTCTACTGCTGTGATGTAACACCATGACCAAAAAAAGCAGGTGGGAGAGAAAAGGATTCATTCAGCTTACACTTCCATATTGCTGTTCATCACTGAGGGAAGTCAGGGCAGGAACTCAAGCAGGGCACAGACCTGGAGGCAGGAGCCAATGCTGAGGCCATGGAGGGGTGCTGCTCACTGGCTTGCTCTCCATGGCTTGCTCAGCCTGCTTTCTTATAGAACCGAGGACCAGCAGCCCAGGGATGACTCCACCTACCACCGGCTGGGCCCTCCCCATTGATCACTTACTGAGAAAATGCCTTACAGCTGGATCTCATGGAGGCATTTCCTCAGCTGAGGCTCCTGCCTCTCGATGACTCTGTGGCAAGCTGACACACAGAACCAGCCAGTACATGTATGTATATAATAATAATAATAAAAAAAGAGGCTATTTAGGTGTGAGGATTTCGGTGGGGGCAGAGAGGTTGGAGGGAGGAAAGGGAGGGGCAAATGTGATATAGTTCTATTTTTCAATTAAAAACATAATAAAAGATTAGTTTGGAAAAAAGTTATTTTATTCTACTCATGTGTTACACACATAAGTTACACAGATGCTTGCAGGACCAGAGGCGTTGAATCCCCTGGGGCTGGAGTTATAGGCAGTTATGAACTACCTGATACAGGCGCTGGGACTCAAACTTGGGTCCTCTGCAAGAGCAGTCCACGCTCTTAACCCGAGACCTGTCTCTCCAGACCACAAGAGTTTTCTTAAAACATTATTCAAATGAATTACACTGATATCACTTTAAGTGTTGGCTGCCATTTAGATCAGGAAATAATATCAGACTTACTGGATTTTCTTGGCAAGGACTCTACAGGCTCAATGCTGGTGCTATGTGTTCAGACAGGCTCGGGCTTCCACTACAACCAAGAGCCCAGCGACCTTCCCTGCAGAGCCTTAGAGAAGCCATGGGCTTCTTGCTTTCATTACAGCAGCTATCATATGGGTGCTATCACAAACACGAGCTGCAAAGTGCGATTCATACCCAGCGTCCTGATGATCAGATAAAGTTGGTCCATATCTGATTTTCCTGGCCAGAGCGGCTGACCCGTCAGGAGCTCAGCAAAAACGCAGCCGACAGCCCACACGTCCACGGAGGAACCGTAATTCGTGTCTCCCACGAGAAGCTCAGGGGCTCGGTACCACCTGGTGGCGACGTAGTCTGTATAGGCATCTCCCGGGACTGCGGAGGAGAAAATCAAGCAGATGAGGTGACGCCATCACCTCCTGGCCCCAGCACCTCTGACCCCCAGCGTGCTGGGGGCAGCAGCTCAGTCAAGAGGCTGGGGTCCTGCTGACACTGAGGGACACACTTTCTGAGCCAAGGCCCCAGGGAGCATCGAGTACACCACAGCTGGAGAGCTGAAAGAATTGCCCCAGGCATGTGTGAGGATTTCTGTCATGCACTTACATCTAAGCCAGTGTCTCCATTTCGGTTTTTTAAATACATTCAAAAAATTTTACATACACTGGTGCTCTGCCTGCATGTATGTCTTATGTGAGGATGTCAGATCGCCTAGAACTGGAGTTACAGACAGTTGTGAGCTGCCATGCGGGTGCTGGGACTTGAACAGCCCAGGGTTTGCAGTCCCAGTTACCTGTGAATTTGACCTTGTTTGGAAATGGGGTCTTTCCAGATGCCGTTGGGTTACAGTGAGGCCATAGGAGGGTAAAGTAAGGCGGGCCCTGAGTTCAGGGACTGATGGGAGTGCATGGGGGAGGGGGAGAATGTCTACACGCACGAGTGTGTGCAGCCAAAGCTGCACTTCAGACGTCACTCCTCAGGCCACTATCCCCTTTTTTTGTTCTGTTTTAAAGACAGGATCTCATGTATCCGACGCCGCTTGTCCTCCAACTCCTAATGCCCCAGCCTCTACCAAGTGCTGAGGCCAGAGATGAGCCACGCACCGGCTTTATAGCGCTCCATGTGTGCTAGGTAGACACGTCAGCATCTGAGCCACATCCCTAACCCTTACCTTGACTTGAGACCGAGATGCTTGCTTTTACCTGGAATTTCCTGGTCTGGCTAGGCTCACTGGCCAGCAGATCTGCTTGTCTCTGCCTCCCCAGCGCCAAGATTACACATAAGTACGCAACATAATATCTAGACTTTTTTAAAAAAATGTGGTTATGAAGCTTGAACTCAGGCCCTCATTTTTGTACAGCGAACATGTAACCATTTGAGGCATATATACCCCTAGTCCAAAGACTGGCAATCTTACGAGATGGTCTCTCGGGAACACAGAAACAGACACAAGTTAGAGCAGATGTTGAGGGGCGGGGTGTGGCTGCCAGGTGAGGAAATCAAACAGCCTCGGGTGCAGCAAGGAGCCTCCAGGCCAAGAAAGATCCCACATTCTACTGCTCTAAGCCCCACGGGTTATGGCTGTTACCTTTGGCAGCCATAGAGAGCCTGCAGTCCTGGGCGGCTGCATCCCGTCCCTCTCCGGGTCTATGTTCATTTTTCAGGACTACTGTGACAACCGGTTTGGCTCCTTGGGCCTTTAGTCACGCCTGTGTGACAGGCAGATGATGGCGAGCTGGGGAAATCCCTCTGGTCAGACATGTCCTACCTCCCCAAGGCCAGGTGGGTGGACCCCAGTCCCATGATACTACGAGAGCTGGGATCCCAAATTTTCTCCTCTGAGGCTGGAGGGGAGTTGATATGGCAATTCTAATGCCTTTAGGGGACAAGAGTCACATAGGAGTTCTTAGACAAAGTCCAAGTGTCCCACCCACAGGGAAAAAGTGGTAAATGCGTGGCTTGTAGAGCCCAGGGATGGGGACCTCTCTGTTTTAAAATATGGGTCTGGGCCAGCGGGGGGCTCAGGGGTAAAAGTGTTTGCCGCAGACCTAGAGCACCTGAATTCTATCCGTGGGAATTACACTGTAGTAAGAGCTCGCTCTGGCAGGGGGTTGGAGTGTGAACACACTAAATATGTTTTTGTTTTTTTTCCTTTTTGAGACAGGGGCTCTTCATGTAGCCCTATCTGTCCTAGAACTCACTCTGTAAACCAGGCTGGCCTTGAACTCACAGAGATCCACCTGCCTCTGCCTCTGCCTCTGCTGGGATTACAGGTGAGCACCACCATGCCAGGCAGTAGTGTGTTTTGTTTTGTTTTGTTTGTGACAGGGTCTTATGACTGTCACCCTGGCTGGCCTCAAACTCATAGAGATCCGCCTGCCTTGGCCTCCTAAGCTCAGGATTACTGAGTCACTACTTGGCTTGAGACAAGAGTGAATTATGTAGCTAATGCTGGCCTTGAAGTCTGAATCATTCGGCTCCATCTGGACACACAGGTGTGTGTTACTACACACAGGTGGCGATTCTCCTTAGTAAGGGACACGCCGACAAGTTTGACCACCACAAGACAGCTCAGGATCCAGGAGCTGCACTCAGTCAGCAGCCTTCACAGCAAGGACAGAGAACCCTGACTATCTGTGGCTCTTTCATAAAATTATATGAACTTTTTTTTTTCCTGGAGACCAGGTCTTGTGTAGCCCAGGCTGACCCGGACTCCTTGTGTGGTCTTAAACTTCTGATCCTCCCATCTCTACCTCCTAACGTGCTGGGATCACAGCTATGTTCCTCCATGCCTGGTTTATGCAGGGCTTCTTGCACGCTAAGCAAGCACTCCGCTAACTGATCGGGAGTCCCAGCCCCTTTCCCTGTGCATCTCCTGTGTAATGGCGCTCACATTGCCTGTATAATTTTAACTTGCTTTTTTGCTTATGGTTTCTTGAACATTTTTTTTTTTTCAACTTGGGATGTGTATATGAGTCACAAGTGTGCAGGTCAGAGGTCAACCTCAGGTTATCAGCTTCCTTGTTTGCAGCAGTCTCTGGTTTTCCGCCGCACCCTTGAGGCTGTGTGCCTGGGAGTTTCTGGAGCTTATCTGTTTTTCATCTCATCCTAGGAACACCAGGATCACAAATGCGTGCTATGCATTCAGCTTTTACATGGCTTCTGGGAATTCGAATTTTGGGCCTCAGACTTACAGGACAAGTGCTTTTACACTGAGCCATCTCTGCAGTCTTTGAACAGTTCCTAGAGTCACTGACAAGCCCGTGCCATCATTTCTAACCAGGATCTTTTATTCCGAGAGATGAACACACTTATTGTGTAATTCTTGGCTATAGGAGTGTCTCAGTCTTGTCAGTTTCTCTTTTTGGCCATAGGACAGGAACTAGTTATTATACCACAAAGCACAGCGACCTCAGGGAAAGCTGGCCAAGTTTGTTTCAGCCCAGCCCTTCTTCAGATCACCTCTGGGTGCCACTGGAGTGCTGAGGATGCCCACAGCCCCCACAGTGAAGCTCATGTTGCTACCACAGGTTCCCACAGCTTCAATGTTCTACACTTAGGGAAAAAGTCCTCCCGCCCACCCCTCCAGCCCCTCACTGCCTGGGATGATGTACTCTTTCTTAGCACACTCTCTGAATCCTGGTGGCTCTTTAATTTCCAGCTGACTCGCGGGGCCTCACCAGCTCTGTGGAGCTTTTCTAATCACTCAAGCCCACGTTGCGATCTCTCCCCAGGGGACCATCTGCTCTTCACTTTAGAGCTTTATGGCCAACCATCTTGTCTTACTCTTTCATCTCGTTTACTTTAGGTTATAAGTGCCTGCAGAGCAGAAATGCATCTTATGATTCCTTTCCACTCCTGTGGGGCCAAGCACACAAAGATGTCATCCAATAAATTCTAGCTGAATGGAGAAGAGCTGAATTACTAACTGACTGAAAGGCTAAAATAAGATTTTTTTTTTCCTTTTTGAATAACAAGACATTTAGAAACTATCCATTAGCTTAAATAAGAATACAAATGATATCAATTTCTAGTCATCTGAATTAGATGAAATAGGTTAAAAAAAAAAAAAGAAAAAGAAAAGTACTTACTTAGAATTCGTGCGAATCCAAAGTCACAAATCTTTATCATTCCTTGCTTGGTTATTAGGATGTTTTCAGGTTTTACATCCCGATGAATGCACTGTAAAATAATTTTTGACTAATTATCTGAGCCATCAAAACAACAAAGAATCAACAGTATCTATCAGTCTAAATGATGGATTCATAGCTCACAAGTGAGAAAGAGATATCTCCTTCATTTTTCTAGAAATATTTAAATTGACAATTTCATGATATTGTTAAAAGAAAAACTTTAAATGTCAGTATATTATCAAAGATATTAAATCTATCAGTGGACTTGGAGAGGGGCTTGGGAGGAGAGGAGGGAGGGAGGTTGAGATTGGGAGGAAATGAAGGAGGGGGCTACAACTGGGATACAAAGTGAGTAAATTATGATATAAATATTAAAAATTGAATAAAAAAACTATAATTGTTAGCCGGGCACAGTGGTACAGGCCTATAATCCCAAAACTTGGGGAGGCAGAGGCAGGCAGATCTCTGTGAGTTCGAGATCAGCATGGACAGCCTGGCTACACAGAGAAACCCTGTTTCGAAAAACCAAACCAAACCAAAACTATAATTGTTATCTGGGTAGTGGTGGCAGGCGCCTTTAATCCCAGCACTGAAGGCACAAATTGCATCACGAAAACCTGGACTATACGTTTTGTGACTGTCACAGGAGATGAAGGGTTTTGCTTTGTTCGAACAGAAACTCTGGAGGCTTTTTTTTTTTTTTTAATCCCAAGAGAGCCTCCCTAAGGCAAGCTATCCGGTTCCCTGATCTTGACTTTTCAGCAATCCCAGATCACCCTGGTGGGAGTCAGTCCTGCTGGCATCTGAACTGCCCAGATGGCAGAACAGGAGCCTCTCGGCACTCTACGCAGCCACTCAGACGGTCCAGAGGTGTTCTATAAAATCTCTATTCTAGCAAAGCACCAGGAGCCAACAGGAGATTCCACTAGCCCCGAAGGGGAGAGAAAAGTGACAGAGCACAAAAGAGAAATTAGTATCTCGCTTTGGTGTCTGTATGCATGAACTCCCGCGCATGTGTATCACACGCAGGCGCACACTCACAGACCAATCCAACACGCACAAGCGCACACGCACGCATGCGCGGAATGACACATGGAATGACGCACAGAATGACGCATCAAGGACATGCATTCATATGACCCCAAATCAAACCAATAGGTACACACGTAAGCACGTGCACACGCAAGGACGCATGCATGTGCCCCACCCAACACGAGCGCATGCGTACACCCACCCACCCACCATGCGCATGCATAGATGCGCATATGTATTTGCGCATATGCACACATGCGCACAGGCAAGGACGCGCACGCATAGGTGTGGCCCCAAAACAACCTAACAGGAACGCACACGTCCCTAAACCAATGCAATGAGTGTGTGCGCTTGTGCACATACATACACGCAACAAAAGCACGCAAGCAGGTGTGTACGTGCGCACCCACACGCAAGGGTGCTCGAGCATGCGTGTTCCCCCAAAACAACCCAACCCACGTACGTACGTGTATACCCCAACACACACACACACACACACACACACACACACACACACACACACACACCT